GCAATCATGGCTACAGGACTTATTGATCGATTCGCTGTCGCTTGCTTGCCTCAGTGGGCTCACTTTCTTGACTTTCGCGACAGCCAACTACGTTGTTGTCTTCCTGATCTTCCTCTGACTCTGGCTCCTCATAGCCCACACGGGAATGCATGTCAAATCCGTAGAACTCCCGAAGAGTCTCACCCTTGATCTTCAGGATTAACGAGCTCTCCTTGCCAAGTCCTGTGCGGCAATCGCGGTCGAAGTCTTCTGCCATTTTGGTCACAGCGTCGAGGCGATACAGGCGCAGATCCATGCTGCTGCCGCGACCCCCCATAGTTCTTGTGAGTTCAACGAGCTTCCTCTCTTCTGCCCCCATCAAATGGCTGTACGTACTGCCCTTTGGGGAAATATAGTCATGGAAATCCTCAGCATCCTGCTGTGTCCGGAAGTAAGGGCTCATGCGAGTTCCGCCACCATGTTCCTCTCGCCAGCACCAACCAAAACGATTCACCACACAAGGTCCGTACCCCATGCCGGGGGAAGGGGAGGGGGGGCCAGGTGCTAAAAACAGGCTGATGGCTGAGGATGTCGATCCCGAAATCTGTGAAGCCCAGCGTGTTCTGTCTCAAAGGCTGGGGGTGGACACCAACCCTGTCTCTCTATCACAAATGCTGTCCAACCCCTGAGACCAGATCGGAAGTTCTTCACTCCGACGGCTGAGCTTCGGGCACACAGCCGCAACACCGTTCACGCAGCGACTCTGCAATGCTGAGAGGAGAGGCGTATCGTTTCCAATGTCAGCGTTCACCTCATGTCAGGCGGCTTGCAGACAAGGCTATGAAACGAGGGCCACCTGGCCTGCGCCTTTGCTTCCACAAGTGCTGCAACTGCTTTCTGCATCGTGTCCTCAGCATGATGAGCACCGTCTCAAACATGTGACGCTTTCCACTATACGTCCAGTCTGGCAGTTGTGCCACTGCGCTGCGGAGTGGCCATCACTCAGAATTTAGAACAATAGGATACGAGCCTGCAGCAATGAACCGAGTCTGAAACTATGCGGCAAAAGAGCACACGAGGCTTCAATCGCATGCTACGAGTGGCACTTTCTGGCCTGATGCACCACCCCACATCGCATGGTTCTAAATGTGCTTCGGCGAGGCTCCGATGCCACGTGCAGATTTGTTACCAGCAGCTGCAATGCAGAGAGGGAGTAGCTCCCCTGGGTGAATCACAGACTCATGGACTCATATACACTTAAGCGAGAGCTCACTGCACAAGACTGCAAAGCCAAGCGACTTCCTGGAAATCAGGACCATCTTCTGCCTCCTCTTCCTTCCACAGGACGTCAGAAGCGAGCACTAGTAGCAGGCTTGACCGCGCCAGGGCAACGGCCTGGGCGTTTGGATCTGCATGCAGCTCCAAGCTGTTCTGCACGATGATCAGATCCACCTGCGAGCATCTCGTCAGTTCCACTCGGTTGAACATGTGACATCGTGATACAGCAAAGGGTGTGCAGAGTCAATCTCGCAACCGGGTCACATCACGCTGGTCATCGAAAGCTTCACGGAGTTCCTGGCACTCACCCTTTATTCTCTCGCGGAAGTTTTAGGACACGTCTGGCTTGGCTTCAGGATAGTCTGTGCATAGCATCCTGCAACAGCCGACGCGTGGCTGCTTCTGTCTGCAGCCTGGAGAATTCCTGAAAGAAAGGGATCACTCTGCTGGATCTCGAAGACTTCTACGAGGCCACGCCTCCTCGCCACATTTGCGCTGCAGGAGCTCCTGCTCTGAAGTGAAGCCGGAGCAAGGGACAAAGACAGCGAGACAGAGAGAGACAAAAAGAGAGAGAGAGAGAGAGACAAAAATGCCAGTGCTCTCCTGGATTTGTGGCATGGACTCATGGACACGGCATCTTTGCAGGCTGATGACATCCTCCACCGAGACCTGACCAACCCCACCAACCCCGCCAACAGCACAGAACGCTGCATGATGGCGTTGTGATGCGTTGTGTGCCCATGTGTGCCCTGAGCCTCCCTGAGCTTCCGGCTGCCTCGTCACTGCTTCGTAGGAGTGCTTCGACTGCTGCGACTGAACCTGTGGAAAGGGGGCGGAACGGCGGAGGTCTCAGCCTTTGCTTCCACCAGGTCTGAGTGCCGGGGCCATGCTCCACCCAGGTCCACAGCGGAAGCGGTGCCAGGCCGCGACCACAGCCACGCAATACGGGCCGCAGAAGCTCCTGCGCTTTTGCACTCTTCCAGCCGCTACAGCCGAAGGGTCCCACATAGATGAGAAACGGCGCGGCCTCGACACGCAGCCGGCGCGAGTCTTCCGACAAACAGCTGACCTCCATCGTCGCACAGCCATGCGGCTAGCGTACCAAACATCCAGTTCATCGACGCTACTCTTGTGGAATGCCATGACTTGTTACGCGTTACGACTAGTTGTGACTAATTGCAAAAAACGACGGTTTTGGCACTCACGACAAAACAAGGGTACTGCCAGCGATTCGAAACAGCATGTTCCGACCGAGGCCGGAGGCCTGGGGTGTCTTGATCTGGTTCCGTGGCCCTCCCCCCCTACTTCCTTCCAGGCCACCCTGACTATCAGCAGAGTTTGGCCGCGTCTCCAAACCCTCCCCCTGCCATTGCAAAAGCACGATCGTTACAAGCGTCCTGCTATGTCCTGCTCAAGAAGCCTCTCTACAAGAATCCCGAGGAGAGCTGTGTCCACTACCAAAGTCGCAACGGAAATTGTGCTGCCAACGGTGTTCCAGCTGAAACCTCACAGCTGTTGACCCTTCTCGACCGCGTCACCCACAGGTGTGCCGTGCCTGACAAAACCCTAAACTCCTCTGTTCTGCTAACAGGCAGACGGTCGAGGCTAAGTTGTTTTCGCCTCGACCTGCTCGACTGTGCTGGCGTTTCTGTCTGCGAACGAACAGAATGGAGCAACAGAACCGTTTTCAACGGTGCCCTCGAACAAACTGCTGATCAAACTTGAAGTCGTCAGGGCGGGTGAGGCGGGAATTGAAAAAAACTGCTGCCCGCACCGGCAAAACTCGAGAAGTAACATCGTCGAACGGGTTTTGTCACTTGATGCGCACGTGCACAACCAGACAAAACCCTATAAACTCCTCTGTTCTGCTAACAGGCAGACAGTCGAGGCTCTTTTCTTTTCGCCCCGACCTGCTCGACTGTGCTAGCGTTTCTGTTTGCGAAGAGCGGAATGGAACAACAGAGCCGTTTTCAACGGCGCGCTCGAACAAACCATTCACCGCGCGCAATTCCCATCTCGGAGTGCGGTGGCTCGGCGAAGAGGCTGTTCACGACGGCGTGAAAGTCCCACGCCTCCAGGGCTGCTGGAGCTTCTTGTAACCGATGCCGCATCGAAAAGGAGCTCCACGGCGGGCTCAGGGTCGAAAGCGTAGTACTGGCCCTCGGCAACGGACTGGGCCATCATCGCGGCCAGTTCCGACCGGGACTTCAGCCGCATCTCTTCCAAGCAGTCCATCAGGACTTGCAAGGCAACCCGGATTACTGCCGAAGACGGACCCGGACGGGATGCTTGGCTCCGTAGTCGCACGTCCAGGGGCAGGAGCGTCGAGGTCCACGGGTCCACGGCCGGACGAGTGTCACCCCAGCTGTGCTCATCGACCGGGCCGCTACCTGCATCAGCCATGGTTAGCTGGAGGCTAACTACTTGAAAAAGCATCTGCCCGCACCGGCAAAACTCGAGAGGTAGCATCGTCGATCGGGTTTTGTCACTTGATGCACACGCGCACAACCATTCAATTCAAACGTTTGTCAGCGAAATAAATTCGTGTTGGGCACATTGGCCAACTTGAAACTCGAGTCGTTCTGAGGAGATGCAGTCTACCACGCCCGATGTCTTCCAGACTTGGCATAGTAGTTCTCTTCTCCTGAACGGTCGGAGGGCTGGAAAAATATGGTAGCACCCGGAAAAACATAGCAGCAGCAGTGTCATGGCACATTTTCGCAAGGCAACCCAGAACCCAGCCTCCGGAGCCGCTCGGATAACTGTTCCAATTCCACCCACTCCATTTCTGCTCCTCTTTCGCCCATGTCCGCTGAGACCCTGAGCGTTGGTCTGTGAACCCCCTCCATGTCCAGGCGTCTTTTGCCCATCCATCACCTTCAGCAGCTTCGGTGCCCGTTCGTTGGCAGAAAATGCCTGATCTGCCTGCTGAAAAGACCCAGCCCTTCTCGCCCTCAAGTCGCAGAAACAAGGAATCTGTCTCTGCGCCCGTTCCTCGACGACGGTGAAGCGAAGCACTCACCTTCCCTGATGAAACCTGCGTTGTCTCGTCTTGCGTGGTGCGGTCCTTGCCGGATATCCGTACCGCCGGATCTCGTGCGCTTCCATTTTGTTGTACGGCATGGGCTGTGCCTCTGCTCGTGACGTTGCTGTTTCCACCGCGATGCGGGCACGGCTTCTGTGCTTCCGTTGCTGTGTGCTGTGCCACCATGCCGCACACCGCCTGGAGAGCTGCTCGCGCCAGGCTTCTCGAGCTGCAGTTCGGCCGCGGCTGCTTCTCCAGCTGCTTGAACTTAGGTGGTGCCTCTGACTGAGCAACTGGGGCCTCGCGAGTCGCGTGACTCTCACGAGCGTCTTCCTTCCACTCGCGCACGTCCTTCTGGAGACTTTGAAAATCCATTATCAGTTGCAGCGAGTTGAACTGGCGGCTCTGCGGTAGTTTGACCTCGCTCGGCATCTTGGCGATCTCGCGGTTTTTCGCATGCACTTCTGCACGCAAGCTTTCGATTTCGTCAAAGTGCTTCGCCAAGGCTGAGACCACCGTGTCGCGCAGAGAATCGAAGAGTTTACTCACGTCTTCGGCAGTCATGGCCTCGGCATCCGTACCAAGGAAGGCATGTTCGAGGTGACCTGATGCGGCCGAACCTTGAACCCGGCTGCGGTCGCACGGCAGAGCTTCAGAAGGTGAGTTTGTACTCAAACATTCGACCAAAATATACAAGAATGTTTACCACGCTTCATGCTGCATTCGTTAGGTTTGAACTCTTCAGTTATCAAGCTTCTGAGTGCAAGAAAAGCCTCGTCCAGAATCTCTGTTGCGATCCGCGGTGCAGGCGAAGCAGGGCCTCTCCGAGTTTGGAGTCTGGATTCAGTGCAGGCTTTCAAGGGATCTACGAGGCCATGTGCATCGCCTTCGGCGCTAGCCTTCGCCAGGACCTGTGGCGAGAGCGGTTCTCGAAGCACCAGGCGGTCACGCGAGGCACGAAGTCCTGCCTCGAGGGCCGTCATGTTTCGGTGACGCAGGGCCACCCTCGGCAGGGCATGTGGTCACGGATGGTCACGGACAACTTCTTTCGAAGCTGCAAAGGTCGACTGACAAACCTGCTCTGGGACGCTCTGGGCAGCTGGCAGGAGCGGGGTCGCTCCATCATCCACCTTTCGAAAGCTTGCTCCTTCTTGCGCCGAGTCTTGACGCGCAGTCTTGCGAGCCTCCGTCTCCAGATCTGCCCGGGCCTGCAGAGTAGACTCAGACTAAGCTTGCCAGCACCAGGGATCCCTGGACCTGGCCTCAAGCAAAGCTTCGATGCCCTTCGTCACAGATTCGGTGCTCGAGCGATAGCACATGGCCTCAAAATCATCGGAATTCCGCACATGTTCGCCATGGAAGATGAGCTCATGGCCAGCAGCGCCAGCCCAGTGAGCCCCAGAGCTTCGTCTTCGGCAGCCTCCTTGCGCTTCGCAGAGCTTCGAAGCTCTGTGCAAGAGATCCCTGCTTCGTGCATGTACCTCCTTCTCTCTGGCATTCGGATCAGCGCCGTTCTGCAAGGCCTGTCAGTGTCGAAGGTTGGACATCCAGTTCTGAAAAAAAGAATGGCGTTACTGTGACCACGGCCTCCTGGATGATGGACACCTCAATGTCCCGCTCCTCGCATCGACTGTGCAGGCTTCACTTGTCTACTGAAACGACAGCCAAGCAAGCCGTGCAGTATGCCGCTCTCCTCATCAAGAGCCTCGCATTCAGACATCTTGTGGCTATTTGTGGCTCTTACATTCGATCGGGGCATGCATGAACCCTCTGGAACTCCGGAAAGCTTGCCTGACGAACTTCCATCAACATGCGTCGCGTGGCTGAGAATGTGTGCATCTTCTGGAACTGCTCCTGCCAGTATTTGTAGCATGTTCAATGGCACCATTGCTCGTCAAAGGCTTCATCGACTCTCGCATTGCGGGCAGGCCGTATTTTGCTCAAGCTGCAGTCTCGCAGGGCCAGACTGCGTCCGCCAATCTATTCGCCTCGCCTCACGGAAGGCAGGCCAGAAGAGAGCAAAAAGAACACTTGGCCCACTTCCCTGCAGGCAAGACGCGGAAGCCGCGAGAGGAGCTTCTTGGCCTCCGGATGCTAAAGACAGCCCCCCTGCTGCCCTTATGCGAGTCTTCAAGGAGCCTCGGGCCCGCCCAGGCGCCTGCAGCTTGAGCAGGCCCAGCTCTGAGCAGAGCTCCTCCTCGGAGAGCTCCGCGAGCATTGGCCCGTCCACCGCATTCTCCTCGCCCAGAGCGGCTTCTGTTTTGCTCTTGCATGTGCCCTCCGCATCAACCGGAGTCCTTGAATTTGTCACCTGTGTGTCCTTACTGGCAGGGCTTTCGATTCGCATGTGGCGTTGAGCTGAACTGAGCACAGCGGCCGAGTCCCAGAAAGTCAAGGAACTGAAGCACCTGAAAACGACGGCTTTTCTGTCGCCTTTTCTTTGGGCCCAGGAATGGCCGCCTGCTCCATGGACCACTCGGCCGGTGGACCAGGCGGGCACTCTGCAACCTGCACGGGGCTTGCGGCGACACGCCCTTGAACTGCTGCAGTCTGGGAGAGGCTCCGCTAGGCCGTAGGGACGGCAATGCATGCCAGGCCTTTTGAGCTTTCTCCTGCTTCACTTCGAAACTGTCTGGAACCATGCGCGCCTTCGGCACAGACACCTTCCACAGGGTCCATGGAGTCAACCGGCAATGTGCAAAGCCTCTCGGCAACCTGCCTCCGAAATGGAAAGCGAGTCGTCGTAGCCTGGACAGCATAGCCGCCGCGTGAATGCAGGACGCTCTCGCAGCGTCTGAACTGTTGCAGTCAAGGCAAGCAGATCATGGAATCGTCTACGTTTCACCTCGCGATATTTCCCATGCGCCTTTGCCACGGGTGAGCGGAATGTGCTTCTGCCTTGCATGCTAGGGAACGGTAGATCTGTCACTGACAGACTTGTCCCAAGCTTGATTTGCAGTATAAACCGCAGCCTGACCATCAAGAAAGTCAAAGACAGCTGTTGGGACAAGATGCTGTCTAAGATCCGGCTTGTAGTCCGCTTGCCAGGCGTCGCCCGCTTCATTGGCCTTGGCTCCATGGCACTCCATGGCCCCCCACAGACAGACAGAAGAATAAGAAAGGGGGCCAAATTCCTTCGTTGCAGCCGGAGAGTCGGCCTCTGCGTCCAGGAAGGCGAGCATGGACTGCAGCGACTTCGGAGGCGCTTCATCACCTCAGGGCTTTGCTTTTGACTTGCTTCGACTTGGTGCTTGGGGGAGTCTGAGGCGGAGGCCTTCCTCAAGACGACGAACCGTGAAGGCAGTGCCTGGGGAGCTGCCGTCCGATCGGAGATAGAGGCGAGTGCTTCTCAGTCATGCAGTGCTCACCAGCCTCCCACCACCATCTCAGTTTCTCTCGGAGGCGTCTCTTTCGGCAACGTCTCTTTCGGCGGCCGTCTGCCACCCTGAGTTTGCAGGTGAAGCCGTGGGCGATTGCGGCCAGCGTTTACAAAGGGATGTGCCACGAACTGCGGCAGAGCTTCCAACTCGCTCATGGCCTTCTTTCGAGCTGCGACTGCAGCTGCGAGGCTCTCTCGCGTGGAGTCGCTTGGTCTCAAAGGCCGTCCTGGCAGCAGAAACGTGAACAAAGAACAACAGGCACCCGGCTCCACACCTCCGGCAAGGGGCTTCTTGGCCGTGGCTGCCTGGTGTCGCTTTGCTCGCATCCCGGCATGTTTTCGAGGCTCTCCGGACTCTGCAAGGCTTGGTGCCAGGCGCGGGCGACGTCGGGCTTGAGGAGCTTTGGCCATCGCAGCCGGCCGGGTGGGACGTTTTGCACGGCCTAGTGAATCCGACGAGCGACCAGCCGACTCAGCCAATGCAGGCTTCGAGAGACCGGCATTCCCCAAGACGTTAATGTCGTAGGTGCCTCGGTGAACCGAAGCGTCGTCAATGCCGTGTCATCTGCTGTATACTTTTTCGATCAGCTTCATGGGACCGAGGCACCATTCCGGTTGCGGTGCAACACCGTCGCCTCGATCCAGCCGTCGTTCGAGCAGTCATCCTCAGCTCCAGATCGGGCCCACAAGTGCTTGCGGTGATTTAGACTTGAGATGCTTTGGAGAGGGAGGCTCACTGAGACTCTGGGATGGCCCTAGATGCCTGGCCGAGCTGCGTAGTCGACGACTGCGCCAACGTGAAAGACTGGATCCTCCGACTGTGTCTTCGGGTTCGCCTTGCGGGTACGGGACTTGGAGCAACATGGCGTGCAGCGAAGCCTAGTTACTCCCCTCTTCACAGCGAAGCAAAGGCGAGCCTTCGCAGACTCCCCAGCTTGTGGCATCGCCTTTGACATCCCAAACGTTTGGGGAAGGGACTGTGGCTCCAACCAGTTTGTTCCAACACCGTCAAGATCCATGGCAAGAAGCTCCACTCAGAGAGGTGTGCTTCAGCGTCCTGGCTGGCGCTTGGCCGTTGGGCCACCGAATCTTCGTGGCGGGCACCTGGGGCTCGACGTCCAAGTCCTTGGCCGCTTAGCTGATGAAAAACGAGGAATCGCAATGAAAGGATGCGAAACGAATGACCCGGGATGGGAGGGCATTGGACAAACCATGGCAACAAAGCTGTGGCCATGGTCAGTCCTTCGTCGACCGTGCCGTTTGCCGTTTAACTGAGGTCGGCTCAAAGATTCCATTGCGAACACGATGAAGGATCTTCGCCGGGACCCATCGACCTTGCTCCGGTCAGTCTTGGTGCCAGCAATTTCCCCTTAGAGCTACGTGTTGAGGCTCTTTTCAAGCAAAGCTGAGCAGCCGTTTGAGAAGCGATCGAACTCGACCATGGCACCATCAGGGTAGTCCAGCACAATTGCTTGAGATGGCTGTCTTTGTGCCTTCTGGGTAACTTCCTTTGCCCTTGAGCCCCCAGTCAGGAAGCCAGGTCTGAGAGTCGTAGACTTTGGAGCCTCCACTGGGCTTTGGGTTTCTCGAGCTGTGGGAGGGGCGGGAGGGGCTGGAGGGGGTGCGGTAGCTGCGCTCGGAGGCGGCATCGCATTCGGTGCCGGCGCTTGTGGAGGCTGCTGGTTGTACCCGGGTGTGCTGTGGTTCATGCCGCTGGCGAGGCTCTTCAAAATGTCCTCCTTCGAGCGTATGTACCTGCTAACATGTGGCCGGAGTCCTGTGGAATCTTGCTGAACTGCATTTCCATTCCAGTGCACAACAAGGATATCAGTATACCGTACCATCCAAGAACATAGTACTTCCTATCCCGCTTTGAGCGATTACTAAACTGTGTACAAAACTTGTCATAAGTCGAACTCCTAATCAAGGCCATGCCACACTTCGTTCCAACGCCACCTTTTGTTTTCTTCCCTCTTCAACACCTGGGAGCAACAGAAAATGGGGGACCTAGAATATAGCACCCTAAATTATTTGGAGATATTAGGATCCTATAGAACCCTGTGTAGTAGGACCCCCAATACAGGACCGAGCTTTCTGAAACTCCAGCCTTCTGGCCATCCTCCAAGACGAGAGCAGCACTCTCTTCTGCAACTTGCGGTGGCAAGGGCCTTCAAAACTACTGCATCTTCCACGGGACGTTTCCGGCGATGCTTGAAAGCATTCAAAAGATTCTGGCAAGGCCTTTCTCAATATGGACGAACTATGGCTATGAGGACAGGAGATGCAGATCGAGATAGCCGAAGAGGTGCTCTTAGCGAGAGCGCAAAGCCGCCAAGCCGCTCGTCGATCAGCAAGAGGCTCGGGGGAGTTCCAGCCTTGCACAAAGACGATGGAGGCTCTGCGCCATAAGTGTAGAAAGAACCCGCCTTCCAGATTTCGAATTCCCCCCCCCCCTTCCCAAATGGTCCTACACAACGCTGGCAGTTTGGGGAATGGACGCCAGAAGAACGATAGCGCCGAACACGACAGATGAACAAACAAGGAGGGTTGGCGCTCGAAATAGCCAGATGCCGTATCCCACCTGTCCCTGCCCTGGTCTCACCATGCGTCCTTCCCTGTGATGATTATGCATTCTGCGTGTGCAACCGTAGACAATGCCACTCGAAGTCAAACCCGATCGGCATGCTCCTTCAAGAGTTGTCTCATCGTTGCCGAGCAGCGTTCGGCTCCGCCGTGCCGTCGGCGATCCACTGCGTTTCGGCAGGCCATGGTCCAGCATGTTCTTTCACGCTGTAGACCCATCCTGTCACACCGGGTCTTGCAGTCTGCAGGTACTCAAGCAGCTACTCGACCACTCCAGGCCTGTAGTTTTGTAGATGCTGTTCATCTTCCAGAACCTGTGCAGCCGGGCCATGCAGGCCATGCTTGCAAGGCGCAGCATGATGATGTCTGTGTTTCTTTGCTGCTTTTGGCACGTTTGCATTGCATGACTCTCGAAAACACCTTGCTGTCGCTAGTAGTGCGATCGTCGCTGTGAGCCTTCACTACTTCGAGGTTGATTTCTCCGCGGCATAAAGGGAGTGCGTGCCCCTGTCTTGCCGGCGTGCCCACGCACCGGTGCATCCTAAAGCCTCTTCTGCTCTTTCGGTTGAACCCCGTGTCCCTGTGCTGCTCTACTGACATCCCCTTTGTGGTGTTCGTCAATGCAGCAGTCGGAGTCGAAAAGGTTGTAAGTTGTAATCGACATGGATCTTGTGCAATCAACCCCCAAAGACAAATACAAACCGCTTCCAAACGTTAGGTCAAGGATCTTGTTGAAGTAGATGACCGCGCCATTGTCTGCCTTGAACATTGGCTTGCCCTGGTGTAAGCCACAGTATCGGTAATCCCGATTGCAGGCATGTATGCCGGCACCAGAAGCCCGCAGAGAAACCAGGCAAACTCGTCTCTCCTTCTTGGGTGTAGCTTCCTCGGCTTGTCAACGAACTCGCTTGCCCTCAGATTGACTTCTTTGGAGCCCAGGTTATCTGGCCAGCATGGCCTGCGTTGCTTGACTAGGGAGGGAGGGTCTTGCAATGTCTTGCACGCGTGCGCACCTGCGGTTGGGCCGCGTGGGATCTATCCAGCGCAGCGACATCCTCAGCTGCTGACCGCGCTCACAAAACTGACCGATGTGTGTCAGGTCCAGATTCCCATGCATTCTTGACAGAGCGCGCCAAGAGCCGGATGGTTCTGCTGAGTGAGCCGACTTTTAGTGGCTTGGCTGGCACGCTCTGCTACGGAGAATCCCGACTTAAACAGACGAGGCGCCCGAGATATCGGCCTGCGCTGCATCCCATCTGTCTCCAGAAGGGCATCCAAATCCGGCACCTACTGTAGGAAAGGGTCTCTCTCTTAAGCGCAGACTTCGCCAAAAGCTGCCCAGCTTGCCTTCTCATCCCGTGTGGCCCCAGTCATGGCCCGCACATCTGCAGCTTTTTGTTGCCAGCAGACCTCCGCCACATCGCGGGGCTCGGGCTCCGTGGCATCCAGCGGTATGCGGTTCCTCGTGCAATGAAGCAGTCCTACGACCTTCGATCTGAGTACAGGGGCTGATGTGAAATCTACAAGAAGAGCTTAGAGGCTGCCCTTGTGCCAAGTGTCCGGTTGAAAAGCCCGGAGCCCGCCATGTTGGCATGTGGCAGATCTTGGGCACTACTTGTGCGTTTTTTGCACCTTCTAACCAACTTCTAGAGGTTCTAACTCGTATTCTACGTCGTACAGAACGTGAGGCAACCGATCTACATGTCACCAGAAGCTGCACATCCTGTTGTGGATGTTGCCCGCTTTGTGGGTATGCCTGCTCTGTCTTCCACATGGATTCCCATGTAACGATTGTCAGTTTGCTTACATAGTTTCAGCGGACAGAGCCTTCCTGACCGTGAGCGCTGTGAAGCATCATGGCATATAATCTGGCTTCAGCAGCTTGAGCAAGGGCGAATCGGCTGACTTCAGCAGTCGGGTCTGCACATACTTGGGCCGACTTGGGGCCGATCCAGCGGCACGAGCCGCTTTGCAAAGGAGCCAGCGGAGACTTCGAAAAATTGATGCTGCTGAACGCTTACGCCTAGCTGCGCGCATTCTGTTTCCAGTGGGATCGCAGCAAGTGGTTTGTGATAGAGTTTGATAGAGTCCAAGTACCCTGCCCATGTTGTGACCATGCCTGCAAGCACAACCGTCTGTTTAAACTTGCTTTTTCGAACAAACCCAAGCCACGGGTGGATGAAGTTAACGGGAAAGCAAAGCAACAAGATTGGAGGAGGTGATGCTTCGGAGAGTTACATGCAACTGGCCGAGTTTGAGCTGAAGATCGCTGAAGTAACTACCCCCTGATCCCATATTGTGCCTGGGCCACCGAGAGACTTTCATATCAAGCTTAGGTAACCCTGCTTGTTCCAAGCTAGGCCCCAAAAGGCTGGCACTTTCCCCTTGGTGAAAGGCAAGAACGAAACAAGAGCACAGCAGGCTCCTCGCCGACATGCTCTCGAAGATGCTCGGCAATCTGCTTGCGACCTGGCTCGTGGACCAAGAAACATTGACGGCCCTGTCTTGCATCGAGGCTGCGCACTGTCATCATCGCCGCCTTGGCGAGCGCTGGTCTGCACTGGTGCGGTTGTGACATACACTGAGGTGCCAGGCTGCAGATTTCAGCAATGCTGCCAAAAGGCTGCTCCGCTGCAAAGCGATGAACACATCTTCGCCAACTGCCTCCTCATGCGCCGCATTGCGAAGCAAAGCCTGTCTCCAACACAGGTCATGGTGAGCACTGTAGCACTGTTGGCGTCTGGCTTCATCTCATGCACGCATGTTGACAACTGAACTCGGCTGCGGATACGGCTTGCAACAAAGTCCATGCTTCTGACCTCCACTGCTGCGGCGCTTCCGGCCTAGCACCGTTGCGAATCGCACATGACATGCACGACCAGGTTCGATGGTAAGATACGTTCACCGGGCTGCCAGCTTGAATCCAAACCCACAGTGGCAGCCTGGCGACTGTGAAAGGTCTGCATGGGACTGCAAATGGCAAAGAGGATTTGTGCTTTTGGAACACTGTGCGGCTGCGCCTCATGTTCGGATCCCCTTGCACTTGTGGACGCATCAGCCTGGTCCAGCGTGTGACCCATGGAAAAAGTTCAAGCCAAACCGAGCTAAGCGCCCTTCCTTTATGCCCGCCCGCCAGTCCCCCACCCAAACGAGACCTACAAATACTGCGACCGCCAGATGTTTATGGTAGCCTCTGTCGGAACCTTGTTTCTTGGGAAAAGACGAAGTCTGCTGGCAAACGGTCTCGGGGCCTCCCTACAGACCACGTGCTGGACTCAAAGAGGGGCTTCTTGCTCTGAGGATGGAGCTACAAACAGAGATATTGCATGATATTACGATCCACAAGCCGAGAGCCCCCCACGGCAAGAGGCCATGTCGGGCTTTACGACTTTACGCCTGCCCGCCTTTCCATCTCGCAGCGCTGCCACTCCAGCGAGACACCCTTGAGTTCCTCCAACACCTGCTGGTTTCAAAAATGCCTCCTATAGCCCAGACTTCCACAGAGATGTGTTCCAGGCCACCACGTCCTGCCTCGGGGGTTACCCGAGCTCCCACTTCACAAAGCGCAGCAACTGCGGCGGTGTTTCGACCTAACATCTGAGAACAAAAACAAAGGCATCGAAGCACGATTTGGGAAGACTGCCTTACAACCATGATGGCGCCCGGATTGGGAAGTAAGAAGTCGGCACTGCACTGCAAGTAGCAAAGGACATCTCTCACTGGGCCAGCCATTGACCTTGGCCACTCCATAGAATGACTACAACAAGTGGCATTTCACCAGGAGAAGCCTGGTGCCCCGTACTTCTACTTGGCTTAAGTCAAGCAGCGTCAGCTCCGGCGTTCACCAAAGCCTGGATCAGAGTGCGGACCTCCAGCAGGCGCATGCTGACGGATGAAGCGGACGAAGGCGTGTGGCGAATGTGAAATCCAGGGACGGGGCTGTTTCGTCCGAGACCTCAAACAGTTGCATCTGAGGTTGCTTCTGCCCTTGGCTCTGTGCACTGCACCTTGTTGTTCATCGCAACGAGGTTAACTGCAGTTTGTGCTTGCATCTCATCCTCTTCAACAATCGGAGCACGAAAGAAACCAAAGTCCACTGGCCATGTGACTTACGACCTACGGTCCTCAGCCCCGGAGTCTTCCGAGAAAATGCCCTCCTGCCAGCATCACACGACATTCCGTATTGACAGATAAGCTCAGACAAGTCGAGCTTCTGTTGCTACTGGCAGCACGGTCCTCATCGCTGCTGTCGCCGTCGATCCCCTCCCATTCCCACACCTTTCGGCCGGTGCCAACATGTGCCAACCCAGATTGACCAAGGCAGCTACCCTGCGCTCTGCGATCCCGACGCCCAAACATGCCGGAACTGCACGACCGCACACGCAGGTGATCTTGCGGCAGCCCTCGCTGCGCTGTGTTGGTACCCCGCATCCGGGACACAGCTGCGCCTGGAAGCGAGGATTCGATACGAGCGAGAGCGCAACGCGCCGCGACGCATCGCGTTCGTTCTCAGCGAGGGAAGCCTGGCGCGCTTTTTCAGAGCGCAGGCGGTCGTTGCCTCGCGGCAGAGCTGAACGCGACCGAGCAGAACTCATGCCAGTCGCGCATTGCACCAGACTGTTCTTCCCATGTGTTGACAATATCGACTGAGCGTTGGGCAGGTGACTCCTCTGTGCCACGAGGACACTTTGCAGCGGAAGCAGAACTGCCTCAGCAAGAGAAGCCCATCCAGTAAGCTAGGACGTGCCGAGTCGAGAAGTTTCGAAAGGTGTGCTCCAGCTGCGGCCCAAGTGCTCCCCACAGCAAGGGGTACCTCAGCAGAAAGCACAACTGGGAACCGAAAAGCCACCTGCACCAGTCAGAGATCCGCTGCACTTGGCACGGCACGCTGTCGTGGGAAACGGTGCAGCCAGGCCAGTTGGAGGGCTAGTCGTCGCCTGGGTCTACGAATCTACGAAAAGCCTGCCTCCCATATCAGGTCATCTTGTCTAATTGTCTACTGGGCCGAGAAAATGGGCTCGCTGACTCCAGGTCCTCGATCCAGTTGGCTTGGCCACTCGGACCGAGCACCTTTCTGCGGCTCGAGAGCACAAATCTGGGGTTGGCCCAGTGTGTGATCCTCTGCCTTGTTCATGCTGCTGGGCGGGGCCCCACCCTTGCGGTGCCCACAGGAAAACTCGTCCAGGATCGTCTGCAGGAACTTCTCTGCAGGCACCTACGATATGTTGGATGCAGAGCTGGGGGGCACTGAATGCGCGTTAATGCGCCATCCGGCGCGCGGAGTTCGCCTCCGCTAGGAAGAAAGCTTCCCACGCAATCCAGAGCCGCTCGCGCGCCTTCGCCAAGGATCACAGCAACTTAAACTTCAACACTTCTCGAAGCATCGCATGGATTCTCGGGCCTCGGTCCCGAGCATGCCAAAAGGCTTTCCGGCACTGGCATGGCCTTCCAGAGCTGGCAGCGGCTGCATGTTGACCGGCGGTGATGTGCGCTGCAGCTAGCATTGTTGCTTTCAATTGCTTGCCCGCGCCTTCCATGCCAGGCCTCAGGTAGGAACCTGTTTCGTCGCAGGCTGCACACCTGTACGTGAGGAGAGCCTGCCAACAGCAAGGTGGTCATGCAAGTGGCCAAGCAGAGAAGCAACAGGCAGTGGTGAAGCTAAGCCGAGCGCTCGGGCATTTTCCTGGTATTTGGCAAACGTCTCCTCCTGTGAACACGGTAGCAGAGGACCTGCCTCGCTTTCGCTTGAGGATTGAATCGACACAAGATCACCGCCTTTACTAAAGGCGCCCAAGCTGTTGTCGCTAGGCGAAGGTTGCAAACTGGGCAACGCACCTGAGGCACGCTGCGTAAGCATGGAAGTGAAGAGGCAGCGCTTTAGCAGGCTTTAGCACGTGGAACACGAGCTCAAACAAAGGCTGGGCACAGCGGGTGCGGCGTAAAGCCCACTGTCGATGACCGCCTGCAGAGCCAGCTTCGCGAAAGACGGAGGAAAAACACTCGAGCCGTGCCTCGGCGTGCTGTCGTAAGCAGTTGGAGCAGAAGGCCTGGCAGTGGCTCGGTTCTCACGGCCACGGAGCCGACTGAGCCCTTTAAAGCTGCCAGGCCTTCCCGCCACAAACGTCGCGACCACAATGCCAAAGCTGGCAGGCGCTGAACTGCTCCATGCAGATGCAGCACCTTGAAGGCGCAAATCTACTGCGGCCACAACCCTGTGGATCTAAAGTTCGGCTGAGGCGCTGGGTGGCTTCGCATGCCGCAGGATCCTGATGCATTGGAGCACCCTACGGCCCTCTCTGGGACACGACGGGCGACTGTGCAGCCTCCGGTGGCCGAAGCTGTACAAGAAGACCTTGACTGATGTTGGAGCCGATCTTCCTCCAGAGACTTCTGAGAAACGCAAGACCCTTCGGCTCTTGTGATTCCGGCTTCCTTTCGTATGCTGCTTCGGCCTTGTGGGAGGTGGCGGCAGTCCAGCTAAGACAGCTGCTTCGTCCTGGCAACATCATGGCAGGCATGCCGGCATGAAGCCCCGAATTTCTACATGGGACTCGCCTGTTGTGTGACCAGGGAGCCACCCAGAAAAGCTTCAGCCTGAGACACCACTCAGCTCCAACCGTGGCAACCTTAGTCCTCCAAGGATCGGACAGGCAAAGCTTTGGGCACAATCAGCATGTCCTGGAAAACAGCATGCAGCTCTTCTACAGTTTCCAAAGGTTCTCAACATCAGGTTTAGGCCTGCGGAGGAATCTCCCGTATGTGCTCCACCGAGTCCACACAAGGAGGGCAAACATCTCCTGCGCAAAGACGGGCAAAAACGCTGCATCTCGCATTCCTTGGGTTGGACACAAGCCAAGGCTGTGTCGCGCCTGAAAACATGTCGGGAGGAGGAGGACGCCGCCGCCTTAGCTCAAGTCTGAATCACTTGCCCGTTGGCCTCTCGCCAGGATGTGTAGGCGAGCAGCCAGTGACTTCTGGAACTGCTCGTTGCGGGAACCATGGACATCAGCTGCCTCTTCAGATGGACTTCATAATCAGACGCCGAAGAAATGCACGATCAAAGCCAAGGCTCTGCATTTCCGGCCGTGCCTCGGTGTTCCAGGCGTTCCCCCTGCTAATTTAAAAGCTTATGCGCCTATCTTCCATGCGCAAATATAGAGACAGAGGCATAGGGTGAACTTTGCTTCGGACCACCAGGCTCTCACCATCTGGAAGCAGGCGCTTCAGCATGGCCAACGGGCCCTCGCGGCCGTGGTCCAAGTGGGCAGCGGCCTCCCGTCAAATCGCTCAGATTTTCTGTAGACGACACGCGATGCCCGCCTGCAGCAGCATCACGAGGGCTGCGCGACGGGTCGGTTCCAATGGTTCAGACCAGGCCTCAAAACTCTCATGGCGAGGCGTCACACTTTGCAGGAAAACCAAGCAACACTGTCGGCATCCAATTCTGGGACAAGCCGCAAGCTGCGCCAGCAGTGAGCGGTTGTCGCGTCCAACTGCTACGACGGCCTAGAAACGACAAACTTTGGCTCTTGGATAAGTGAGGAGATGCGAATGGCCGCAGCGGTGCCTTCCGCAGGACTTGGCTTGGACCCCACAGCTCTCGGACACCCCACATCAAGCGATCCCACTCCTTTTCGAGACGCCGTTAGAGTGCAGTAGCATTAGTAGGAACTCAACTCTTGCACTCATTGGTCATCATTGGTCCTCTTTGCGCAAGAGGATGCTTGAACAGCCACCACAAGCCTGGCATGGGCCACATCAGCCACTCTGTAGGTATGCAAACACTTAACCCGCAGGGTCGTAGCTGAAAATGCTGCCTAGATGCATCATTTAGGAGGTCTGCATGCCCCTGCAGCAGCGTTGGCGTGTATGCTCCCAGGACACCTGCAAGCAACGTGGTCACATAGGCTTTCGAAACCGTCCGAAACGGTGCACAATTGGGCCTGTGGACAGTTCTACTCCTGTGAGGAGGTCTAACAAAGCCGGCGTGCCACCTGAGGGACGGCCATTGAACTCGCATGCCGCATCGAAGGGTGAGCACCGGGTTTCCAGCATCCGGGGGCCGCTGCGAGGTCTGCTGCGTCGCCGTCCCCGGCAAGAACGTGAAACCACGCCTCGCGGTGCCAATTGTCCGAGCACTTTGGTCCAAGACACTTGAGCAGACACTTGCCTCGTTGATGACTGCAAAGGCAGCCTCCGAACCAACCAGAGATGCCACTCCGTCATTGGGCGCGACGGGCTCATCACCCATTTTCACATGCGCTCCCGCATCTATATAATGCCAGCACCGGCGAAGGGTGCTTTGTGCAAACGCAACGAACGAACAAAGCTCTCTTTAGGTATTGGTGATGGTGGGCGGTGTGTCGTGCGTAGTCGTATCTGTCAGAGCTAGTGGAAGGGTGTTGCTCCGTTTGAAAAGTATGGCTGTAGATCAACAGTGCCCACACTTTGTTGCAGGTGCAGTGGTCGGAAACCAAACGAGCCAAGACCTGAATCAGGCGCACGGAAACGGCAGCAGTCAGAAAGTCAGCGAAACGACAGGCACGAACCAAACCGAGCTGCCCCAAACTGCAGAAACCGAGCGAAGGAGCAGCTTCCGCTTAGACTGTTCCGGCGTCAATCAAATCTGCTGGGCATCACATCTTTGGCCTTGGCAACTAGTCATGCAGGGCTGGAGATGCTTGTCAGGGAGTTCACCGAGGTTGGTGCTTCTTCTGTGCCCGAACATATGGGGCAGCCAATTGGTCGCCAGCAAACCTTGAGTCAGCGAGGAGGCAGTGTCCAAGTAGAATGCAGACTCGATATCAAAGTATGACATTATATATATATATAATATCAAAAACACCGAAATCCTAAAGGCACTAAACCCTAAAAAGCCCCGGATCTAGTGCTCGGCACCGCACTCCTTGACGATGCTCTCCACCCAAGATAAGCGCTTTCCCTGCAGCGATAGCCGTGTTGCCACAAGCATTCAGAAAGCATCTGAATCTCAAATTCCTGCGCTCTCCCATAAGGGACAAATTCGGCAAACAAGGAAATTCCCGCGT